TGCAAGATGTAGAACGAAAAAGGTAACATCTTTTAATCAGTTTCCATACCTCAACATCAACATTAACTTTCATCCTTGCCGAGTAAGTCATATTCTGAAACCTAGCGTGCCACGGGAGAAACTCAAGCTCCTTATCATCAAAGTACAAAGTAGGCTTATCTACACCGACTTCGCCAAATTTAACTGTGGCGTATCTCCATTCATGATCCTTGTTCTTAGTAGGATCAAACGACGGCTCCACAAGCATCTCACCGGAGAATTCAAACACGTTCAGTGTGCTCGATGAAGATACACTCACTGATTGTCTCTAAACCGAAAAAGGAATAATAAACCATAACAATAAGTTAAAATTTAACCTGTCTTTCTTTAAACTCCTCGGGAGTAAGGTCACCACAGTTTGCTTGTTTATTTGTACACATCTGCATAAATTTTGTATAGAACATAACATAGGCTACTAAGACAACATAGTGAATACATCATATAAAAAGTATAAATTAATATAATAAAAATTTAACATTTTTCGTCTTTAGTTGAATAGTAGCACGGTTTGTGATAAAAGAGATACCTCATCATCAACCTCCATGGCTGTGGAGTAATCCTTGATACGCTTTTGAATTTCTTCTTATACTCAGCATTCGTCATCTCTTTCTCCTTTAAATCTTGTGCTTTCTCTCATTTTCTACTCAAAACTGTGGCTACTGTTTCTTCTCCAATTATTGTTTCTTCCTTACCTCAGGCTCTTTCCTCGGAGACAAAGCCATATTATCCTCCTCATCCCCCGCTTCTTCACCTGCCAGAATCATAAAAATAACATTTAACAAAACATCACTAAATTGCATCATCTGGTCTTTCAATTAAATTTTGTGATTTTAAGGGTGTATATGGATCTTTTACCTCATGTTCATGAAACCAAGCTGCTTCGGAAAAACCTCTCGTTGAAGGATCCATCGTTCGTTTCTGATACATCTCCAGCCTAATACAATCACAACTCTTAGTAGGTATTAGGATGCTAAGGTGGATACAGAAGCTAATATTTGAAGTACGTGATCAGAACAGCATATGTAATATTTTTTTTTTACATCAACAAATATAATATTCAATATTAGACTATGCACTGGAAAAATCAGTAGAGGCTAACCATGGAACATTTGAAAATAATTAAAGAATCCCACGTTGATAGCAGTCAATAAAAGAAAAGAGGTAAAAGTATTAGGAGAAAACTTTGAATTCAACTAAGCAGTGGTGCACTAAAAACACAGTACGATGCCCACTGAACCTCGCTCAACCTGTTAGAGAAGTAAGTAAGCAAACTGAATAAATAGAGCCTCTTCACAATTTGACATCCATAAATTTGTGTTTAGTACAACTATTCATTGGAAGCTATGAAATCCATTTGGCTGACAAATCAATTACCTTGAGGATCTGAAATTCCAAAAACCAAGCTTTTAGAGTGGTTTTTTCTTTGAAAAAATGTTTCAGGAGACGAAATGAAAGAAGAATATCACTATCCCGATATTTCCATGCCATATATGTTGTCACCATCAAGCTCCAGCTCCAAATCGTTGAACGTCTCATCTTGCGATGCAATAGACGACCACTTTGACACAAATCTGCAATAATACAAAGCGACGGAAGAGTTTCCAGTGGAGAGAGGAGACTTCTGTTGGGCTTCAGCTTCCTCAATGGAGCTTACCATTTCTGGGTGGATTAAAGTATAGCCAGAGGGTTTATAAAGATGGATAAACAAAGGATAACAATACGAACTCATAAAATGGAGAGTAATTGATTGTTAAGAGATGGATCGGGATAACGGAGATTTCATGGAGATGAAACGGAGAAGACGAAGTTTGAGAGACATAGTCGCTTCGATTCAGTGTGTCAATTTGGGCCATTACAAATATATTCAATCCACACGACGAATAAGCCCACTGATATTCATTTCGACATAAGAAATAATAACGTGTCAAAAAGCAACATTTCTATTGGTCAACTATTTAATCTGACGTGCATGCTTTTTCTTGCACCATATTCTCCTTTTATTATTGTTTGATGTGCCAATATCCATTCAAGAGAGCAATACAAAACCACATCCAAATTTCTTGAAACTGCTACACATCATAGCTAGATATACAAAACTGCATCCAAATTTTTTGAAACCGCTACACATCATAGTTATACATGTTGATATTCTAGTTATAAAATATATCTTGATATTAAGGAGAAAATTACAACCAAACTTTCTAGCATGTCCAAACACAGATACCTTGGAATGATAAGATACAAGTGTTTCAATATCAAAGTGTTTGTGTTTCATATGGAACTCAACCCCTGACATTGTACTAAGAGCATGTACATCAGAGGATCAGAGAGAAGTTCACACGGATCCTCAAAAAAAAAAATGCAATTTTGGTGAACCCGCGTCATCCAGGCTCTCTGGGATGACCCGGTGTCATCACTGTTTCGTAGGTTCCACGCCACATGGCGGTCCACGATTGGTTCCTTTTTTTTTATTTTTTTTTAAATAAACGTAAAAAAATTTTTAAACAAATACTAAAAAAACCTATGAACTCCCCTCCTCGGGGTCATTAATGCATGTGCTCTAAGACTTGTTGGATATCTCACAATTAAAGATTTCAGATATACTTTAATATCATCATTTTAACCGATTTGGATACCACTATACGTAGCTAGTTTTTTTGTTAGGTGGTCCATTGTTTTTTTGTTGAGAGCAAACAGAATCTACAATAATTTTCCCACAAGTCATCAATTCAAGTAGTGAGCTATACCTAATATTCATGTTCGCACTTTCTATACATATGCCTTAGTCAAAATTAGCTTAACTGACTCTAAGCCACAGAAAGATTACTAGTCTAAGGCCTAAAATTTCCACAGATTTCAAAGGAAATAGTAGCTAGCTATAGATCCTAAAATCTCTAAACAATCGATGTTTGTTGAAGTTTCAATCAACCAAAAGGTGTACAGTTTAATCATTCTGTCTTTTTTAGGTCAAAGATGTACAGTTTAATTTAACGGCAAATATATAATAGAAAAAGAAGTTACTAAATAGCGCAAAGGGAGATAAGATAGCTCTTTACTAAAAGAGAAAGAAAACATAAAACCTTAAATAGCTTATCTAAGATTCAGACCAAACACAGTGTTCCTTGACATGTCTGACAGTAGCTTCAGTCAAACACAGTTACACAAGCTGGCAGACAGGTGAACGCCTGAACGACAATGCCAACTCCTTTATCATCTCCAGTTTCTTGTCTGAGACAGCGACCGTTTCTTAAGATAAATTCCACCACATCTTTCTCTTCTTTAGTTCCTTCATAGTTTGCCCATTCCAGAGTTTCTAGACTCGTTAACAAACATTCGGCAACTAAGCTCAGATCACTCCGGATCGGGTTTTGTTGATCAGCCTGGTAGCCATGTTTCTGAGATAAACAATACAGGAGGCACATGTGAATTTAAAAATAATCAGGTCAAGGACACAAAATGAATTGGGTTGAATTTACATATACCTGATAAAGTTGGAGAGAGCGTAATTTAGGTGAATCTCTGAGCACATACATAAGTAGGTTCAACCACAGTGTCTTACATCTGCATAGCTTAAAATTTAACAGACGGTGGAAGACACAACCACTAGGATATGCATTCTTCCAAGTCCATGGTGGAAGAAAAGATGATTTAGTCATTGTTCCATTACTGATTCTAAAATGAAAAACAAGAGTGTAGATGGCAGAATGATAAAGAGACGGCTTAAATACCTTTGAGAATTATAAACATAACCAGAGATCCTTGACTGGAGTTAAAGAACTCAAAATATTCCAAGAATGACAATCGTAAACGTCAATATCTGCCGTTACAATGTTAGGCATTTCATTCTTAACGAGACAAACCCCCCGAAAAATCATCAATAATCAACGTCTCCAAAGAAGGAGCATCTATCACAAACCCTTCTCCACCGTAGCTAGCTTTGATATCATGCATATATAAAATCTTTAGAGAAGGCACTCTCACGGTGAAAAGGGTAACGTTTTCATCAGGCCATCGGTCCACAAACAAGTCTTCAAGAACCGGACAATTGGATAAAAGCCTTTCGACAATTTGTTGCAAATTTTCTTGAATACATTCGTATTTTGAGTTCTAGAATAGTGATTGATTCAATTAATCAACTATTCTAGAACTCAAAATACGAATGTATAGTCACCACTCCAACTACTATTTTTAACAACCTAAAGAACTAATTACCCGTTAAAAGATTAAACATGCACCAAGTACAAGTTTTGATAGGTTGACATAACACAATAACATCAACTCATGTTGGATAATCACACTAATTATTTTGTCGATAGTCAAATCTCATTATATTTACAGTTACCAAAGATTATGATTTAGGTGATCAATCAAGTCCAGGTAATAAAAACAACCCAAATAAAGAATTCTCTAATTAAATGACTATAAATAGTTATTCTTATCAATTCTTTCTAATCCTAAAACCTGACTATGAAGCTAATCAAGCATAAACAAAGAACACAAAATCAATAATAAAATCTGCATAACTAAAATATCTTCCAATTTCCATTAAATCTTATGTGATAAACTTTTATATATTGACAAAGTCTTTCCAGTAAACCGAAAATTTAAATATTTTTACAAACAATTAATTTAACTATGTGAGCCCATATGGTTTTCATCGGCTCTGGTCAGTGCTCCGTTACGGACCGACCAGTCAGTCTCCAAACAAATGGTCTGCATGGACAGGCAAAATAGAGGCCTGAGAAATCGTCTTGCAGCTTTAGATGTACTAGACAACCCTTATACGAATAAACGGAATGACAACAAAATTCTATAGCAACCGCAAGTGCTAGACAAAGGAGTCTTTAACACCAAGTAAACCATAAGTTTTTTTTAGCCTCCTATTGTTTAGCTTTTGCTTTGTTTCTGTTTTCTACGCACAAAACATTATCAAATGACATACCTCAAATACTGAGATCAATTTATATGATAGCAAGACCAGTTTTCAGGTAATCCAAGCAAGGGAAAGGAAGACGCAGGATTTGGTCCACTTCTAAGGAAGCCTTCATGAGATTGCTCTTGATTTTGTCTCTATGTCTTCCCTCTGACCTCATGCCTCTGCTCACCACCAGAGATACATTACATAGCCATGGAACTTCACAAGCAAAAACCAACCCATTACCCTCATTCTCCATTAAACCCTTTTTATAGGCTTTACCTACTTTCCTCACATACTTTCCCGGTGCACCTTCGTTTGATCTGTCTAGATCAGAGATGTCTGCATCTGAGTGAAGGTTCACCACAAGAGTCCCATGCTCATGGTGAAGTCTTTCGCTCAGAGCTTTCACAAACAGAGAATCGGAATCCCACAGACTATGGGGAAAAATGTCTGCTCCATCATAAGCATCCATGAAGATCATGTCATAATAATTATTTTGGTTCTTCTTGAGAATGAATTCCTTAGCTTCTGACTCGTAGAGGAAGAGTCTCTCGTGGATGCCTCGCCACATCAATTGGTCGATAACATCAGGAGTGGGTAACGCACGTTTCCCTGTTGCTGCCATGACAGAGAATGCAGGGAAGCCCATTGCTCGAACCGACTCTGAAATAACTACTGGGTCGATCTCGACTATGTCAACAACAGCACCTAAAAAGACAGATCAAAAAAAACCATTCAGATTATTTAACATAAGAATTAGGGACGACAAAATTCTAGAAAAGAATTTCTACCAAGAATGTGATTAGCTAGGAACAACGGTAAGCTTCCTCCGCCATGACCGACGCATAATATGCGCATTTGTTTTTTCCCAATAGCTGCATTCCTCATATCATATTTAGAAGCTGCAAGAGAAGCCAATCCCACTGAAACCATGCTCTTCAAATCTGTAACAAAAATAAATAAAAATAGTTAAAGCAGAGAACAAACAACAATGTTAAACAGCGCGGTTATACAGACTATTAACATGAAAGTGGCAACTTTTACCGTTTTGTATGTTTTCAAGATCAAGACTTGTTTATCCCATGATTTGAAATTTCCTTTTGTAGTTTTGAAATCAGATGTATATTTAGAAAACTATGTTTATCTATAAATAGTATATAAGTATCTAAGAACTTTTATATTTATTTTTGTTAGCAAAACATATTATAAATACATTAAACTGTATTAGAAAACTAGGCCCCAAATACTCCCCGATTTCTCAATAACTTGCTAGGCCCGTAACGACCCTCCGACTAGCGCCTGGGTAGTTCTGAACAAGGCTGATAACTAATAACTAAACCTATTAGCTTCATTCACTTATCTAGTTCTGAACAAGTCCTGTTGTCCATGGGTTTCCTAACGATGAAGCATTTAGTGGCAACAAAATATTGAAGCATTCAAAGAAGGGAAAAGAAAATGACATGGAACAGCAAGGCAATGAGGCTGTTGCATGTAGAAAATGGAACTGGGTTGCAATACTCTACAAGCAGCCATGACTTTGACAGTGCTTTGTCGAGTATCATCGTTGAAGCGAAGGGATCTCCATTGATATCCAAGTATCTTAAACCTCTCTCTGTCTCTTCCCATTATCTCCATATACCTATTCTCCAGCCATCTCTCAGTTTCTGCCCATGAATCTCTACTCTACTCTACAAGAAAAGATCAAAGCATTAGAAGAAATCAAGAAGAATTGATTCCAGAAGAAGAAAGCAGAGATATACTCACAGGAAGAGAAGAAGGATGTGCGACAACGGAGACGACGCCGTTCCCTTTGGTGGAAGTAGACTGTGAAACAGGGTGGCCGCCTTCCCACCATTCCCGCGAGTAGAACCAGTCTCCTTCGTCCTTAACTCCTCCTCCTGTGCAGAAATGTCGTAGATATGTCTCGACGCTGCTCAACCGCCGCCGCGCTAACGAGAAACGTTGGATCGAGTTCATCTGAGAGTCTCAAATGTTTGTAATTGGCGGCGGCGTTTTCTTAGGAGAACTTTTTTATTTGAAATGAGAAAGGAAAATGAGAGTAATTATTATGGGCTTTAGATATCCATAACTAGGCCCATAAAGCTTTGATTAGGGCCAAAGCTAAAAGCAGAATCCGACTACGGCAAATTGCGAATTTTTTTTAGTAAAGGCAAGACAACAATAATAGTTTTAATGTTTCATTAGTTCGTCTACTTGATGAGAAAGCCAAAAAGAAGAAAGTCAACGAGCTAAATTTGGAAGAGCAAAAGAAAACATAAAATAGGTTATAAATAGCTTATCCAAGATTCAGACCAAAGATGATGTTACTTGACATGTCTGAGACTATGGCTTCAGTCAAACACAAGCTGGCAGATAGGTGAACGCCTGGACGACAATGCCAACTCCTTAATCATCTCAAGTTTCTCCTCGGGGTCAGTGGGTTTAGAGGAGATAGTCACCTTTTTTAAACATCGACCGTTTCTTAATATATATTCCACCACTTCTTTCTCTTCTTTTGTTCCTTCATAGCTTTTCCATTCGAGAGTTTCAAGACTCGATAACAAACATTCGGGAACTAAGCTCGGTTCACTCCAACCTGGGCTCGGTTGATCCGCCTGAGAGCCATGGTACTGACATAAACAGTACACGAGACAATGAGCGAATCTAAAAAATAATCTGGCCAAAGACACAAAATCAAAATAGACATACCTGATCAAGTTTGAGACCACCTAATTTAGGTGAATCTCTAAGCACACACATAAGTAGGTTCAACCACTGCTGGTCACATCTGCATAGAGTAAAATGGCCAAGACAGTGGAAGACACGACCACTATGATATGCGTCCTGCAAGTCCATGGTTTAAGAAAGATTGTTTAATCTAAACACCGTTCCATTAGAGATTCTATAATGAAAAAGAGTGCAGAGCGCAGAATGATAAAGACGCGACTAAAATACCTTTGCGGATGATAAACATAAAAGGAGATCCTTGACTGAAGTTAAAAAACCCATAATCTTGCCTGGATGACTATACCTAATGTCAATATCTGCCGTTACAATGTTAGGCATGTCGTTCTCAAGGACCCAAAACCCACCAGTATAATCATCAAAAACCAATGTCTTCAACGAGGGAACATCTATCACAACCCCTTCTGCATCATCGCTAGTTTTTTCACGTTTGTTAAGCATAGTTAAAATCTTTAGAGAAGGCACTCGAACGGTGAAAATAGTAACATTGTCATCAAGACATCGCTTCACAGACAAATCTTCAAGAACATGACAACTGGATAAAAGGCTGTCGACAAATTCATCACCACCTGGGTATTTGATGGATTCAAGGCTCAATCCCTTGAGAGATGGGAAAGACACGGGTGAAGAAGCATCAGCAAGAACCATGTTGTTAATTTTCAACGTTACAAGCATTCCGGATACCATGTACAAACTCTTTGGAAGGATGGCTGGAGGAGCTGCACAAGAAGATCTATCAATGTCGACGACCAGCTCACGGACATGGCGTCTAGAAACAGTTGTAGCCCATACTCCAATATCCACATCACTAAACTTTTGACCAAGCTTGAACTCCAAAGATTCTAGAACTGGAGCGTTGTGCAGAAGCAAGGATCTGTCTACAAACCTCGAGAAACTTTCTTTCGTGATGTTCTCGTTGCTATCATCGTATATGAGCCTTGGCACAAGCATCCATAGAAACTGCCAACGTTTGGACAGAACCATCGTGGCCATAACATCTTTGGTAGTAGGCAGAAAAGACAAAATCTTCAAAAGCAGATGTTCAGGCAGATGACTGATGCTATCCATCTGATATCTGCAGGCAACACACCAAAGCCTGGAAACATCAAAAACATGAACAAAATGGATGTGAAATTCTTAGGAACTAAACCTTACCACCAAGTGAATTCACAAAATCAGACTTTCTTCGACCATTGCGTATACAAAATTCTAAGAAAATGAGGCTTACGGAGCTTCGGAGGATGTGGATGAGAAGCAGTCGTCAACCTCAATTCAAAGCCGAGGAGGAGAGAGGATGTGAAGTGTCTCGTCAGATGACAATCTGGGGAAGATGAGACGACGAAAGAGTATCTATCGAGTCATATTAAAGACTTCGGCTGGGTTTTTATCTAGCCCGGCCCAGCCCAATATACAGACTTCATCGTCATATCGCCGCATCCAAACAAGCTGACTCTGTCGAATAATACAAGGGGTTTGGAAAATAAACCAAACCAAAACCAATCAATGAAAATAAATCCGAAAGTCGATATAAATATTGAGTAGAACTTGTTTTATGGTATTTTGGGTTATGAATTTATCTAAAACAAACCCAAAACCGAATAAATTTATGGAAAAAAAAAACATAAAAGTTCAAAAATAAAAAAATACTAATACCAAACCCTAACACAATCTGGAATAAGTATCGAAAATATTTGAAAATTTTATTAAATACCTAAACTAAATATTTATTCATAAATAATTAACTTAAATATTTAATTTAATATATTTTGGTATGTGGTGTTCTTTTTTCTTCTATATATTCAAATTTTATCGGGTTTTAAGTGCTTTTACTTCGATTTATTGGTTTTATGTTTTTACACATAGTTTTTGAGTTTTGTTCTCTAATTTCATTCTCTTTACCCTCATTTCAATTTCTTTTATTTTTAGTTTTATTTCACTGATCTATATTTGGTTTCTAGGTTTAATTAAGTAAAAACTATATTTTGGAATCGAAAATCCGATTAAGATTCGAAACCCAAAATTATGTTAGGTTCAACTAGTTTTTAGAAACTAAACCTGAACCCAATTTGAACAAAACTTTTATAATATCTTAATGGAATAGAAATTCAAACCAAAACCCCACAACCCGATTAAACCCAAACTAAAATTCGATTGGTCTCCTAAATACCCAGCCTTGGAAACGAGGCAAGAACATTTTATCCGGAATCAAAAAATCGTACCAGAACTGATCCAAAAATATCCGACCAAAACCAAACACATACCCGAAAAAAATCGATCTTAATAGATTATAATTCAATGTGTTCTATTTTGTATAGTTAATTTATGATTTAATTTTAATGTTCTGTTTTGCAATATGCATTATTATTATTTTAACATTTTCATGTATTCTAATTTTTCTGATTATTATGATTTAATTTTGATCTCTACCAATTCTTTTATATCTACTTTTTCTGCACCATTTCGAAAATTTTATTATACATAGCCTCATTAAAATTATAAATTAATAATTTATATGTATACATATTTTATATAAATAAGAACCTATGTTATATTGTTTGCTTTATATTCACAAGGAAATTATCTTATATATTTAACATATTTTGATGAGATTTAGTAATATTATATTCAAAATCACATTTAGGTTGTGTGGAATATATATATAAACCAAATAATATAAATGTCAAATCTCAAATAACTAATAATTGAAGTTTATACAAGAAAATCAAATATATTTTTCTATCTTAGAATAAATATATCTTAAGATAAAATTAAATTAAATAAATTTTTTTTTGTGAATTAATATCTCCATAAATTAATAAAATTTCAGAATTTCAACATTATTAGTTTATAGAAGTTTTACTTTATACTTTGGAATGATAAGAAACAAATCTTTCAATGTCAAATTGTGGGGTTTTCACCTCTAACGTTGTACTATAAGAGAGTTACGTATCCCACTCATTAAAGATTTCAAATGTACTTAGATAACATCTTTCTTTTTTTTTTTTTTTTGCTAACATACTTAGATAACATCTTTAAAACAGAACGTGGTTATAAATTACATAGCTAGTGTTTTTGTTGTTAAGTGATTCATTAGTCTTTGTTGAGACCGAGCACTCTATACTAGTAGTCATCCCTACAAAATGGAATTTTCTTTGTTCGTGATAGCACCTCCTATCTGGATACCCATTTAGGACCCAAGAAATCTGACATAAGACAAATGATTTTGGCAATAAAAGACAATCGTGTGTGTGCTAGAATTGATGTTCCTTGAAATATACATGTTTTATGGCTTCCCAATAGTGAGTACTAGAATTACTAATGCATTCAACATCGTTACTACATAAGCTATAATTAAGTACTATAGGCTAGTTTATCAATTGCAAGGGGTTGGGTTATAAAAACCTCCTTGAAACAAAATGTTATTAACTCTACACGGGAGGGAGATTATGGGTCTTTCCGAAAGCCTCTAAACAAGCCAAGTTGAAGTATCAATCAACTAATCAGTGTACAGTTTAACCTAACGACAAATCCATACTTAACAAAAAAAAGAGTGAGAAAATATGGCAAAAGCCAATAAGATAAATTAGGGAAATATAATAGTTTTGATGCTTCATTGTTTCTTCTACATAAGAGAAAGAAAATAAGAAATTCAAAGACCTAAATTTGGAAGAACAAAAGAAAACATAAAACGTTATAATAGCTTATCTAAGATTCAGACCAAACACAGTGTTACTTGACATATCTGACTGTAGCTTCAGTAGAATACAAGCTGGCAGGTAGGTGAACGTCTGAACGACAATGCCAACTCCTTAATCATCTCAAGTTTCTCGTCGGAGTCCAGTGGATTTAGAGGAGATAGTCATCTTTTTTAAACATCGAGCGTTTCTTAAGATAAATCCCAATACTTCTTTCTCTTCGTTTGTTCCTTCATAATCTTCCCATTCAAGAGTTTCAAGACTCGATAACAAACATTCAGGAACTATGCTCGGTTCACTCCAACATGGGCTCGGTTGATCAGCTTGAGAGCCATGGTACTGGGATAAACAGTACAAGACACTAAGTGAAATGAAAAAAAATCTGCTAAATGCACTAACTAAATTGGGTTGAAATATAAATATACCTGATCAAGTTTGAGAGCTCGTAACTTAGGTGAATCTCTGAGCACACACATAAGTTGCTCCAACCACTGCCTCTTGCATCTGCATAGCGTAAAATCTACCAGACGGTTGAAGACACAACCACTAGGATATGCATCCTGCAAAGTCATGGTGGAAGAAAGATGGATTAGTCATTGTTCCTTGACTGATTCTGAAAATGGTGAAAGACACGACTAAAATACCTCTGAGGATGATAAACATAGAAAGAGATCCTTGACTGGAGTGATAGAACCCATAATCTTCCCTGACTGTTTATACGTAATGTCAATATCTGCCGTTACAATGTTAGGCATTTCACTCTCAAGAACACAAAATCCATCCGTGCGATCAAGAAGATTTAACATCTCCAAAGAAGGAGCATCTATCACAACCCCATGTGCATCATCGCTATGTTTTTCAGTTAAATTAAACATCCCTAATTTTTTTAGAGACGGCACTCTTACAGTGAAAATGGTAACATTGTCATCAAGACATCGCACCACACACAAGTCTTCAAGAACAGGACAACTGGATAAAACCCTGCTGACATATTCATCACCACCTTGGTATTTGATAAATTCAAGAGTCAATTCCTTGAGAGATGGGAAAGACAAAGGTGAAGAAACATCAACAAGAACCATGTTAATAAGTTTCAACTTCACAAGCATTCCAGATACAGTGTAAAAACTCTTAGGAATGATGGTTGGAGTTGCACAAGAAGATCTATCAATCTCGATGACCAGCTCACGCACATGGCGTCTAGCTACATGTCTAGCCCATACTCCAATGTCCTCAGCACTACACTTTGGACCAAGCTTGAAACGCAAATACTCTAGAACTGGAGCCTCGTGCAAGATCAAGGACCTGTCTACGTACCTCGAAAAACGTTCTTCCGTGATATTCTCATGGCTATCATCGTATACGAGTCTCGGCACAAGCATCCATAGAAACTGCCAGCGTTTAGACAAAACCATTGTGGCCACAACATCTTTCGTAGTAGGCAGAAAAGACAAAATCTTCAAAAGCAGAGTATCAGGAAGTTCACTTATCCAATCCATCACAGACACCAACGCCTGAGAACATCAAAAACACAGCACAAAATGGAAGTGAAATTCTACACAAACTATAGTCATGATTAATGAGCAAACTAAACCTTAGCAGCAATTCGAAAAAAAAAAATCGAGACTAAGCACAAACCGTTATTTCGTCTAAGAAAATCGGAGAGAGTGAGAGGCTTACGGAGATTCTGAGGATGCGGATGTGAAGCTGATACAGTGGTCGTCAGCCTCAGTTCAAAGCCGCTGCGGTTGGGTTCACGGAGGAGACAGGGATCGATAAGTGACTTGAATTCTCTTCGATGAGCATTTGGGGAATGACAAAAGAGTGTCTTTCGAGCATGTTAAAGACTTTGGCTACGGATGTTAATAATGGGTATGGGTACCCCTAAACCCTACGAAACACTTCAACCCAGAATCCTGTTTTTTTTTAAATTTCAAAATTCGCGGGTTTAGTTTAGGCGGGTCTTGATTTGCAAATTACCCTATTGGGTACTCTAAGGGCTTTTTTGGAAAAAAAAAGTAGTTGCGTAGTAAAAAACGACTACGTTTCACACTTTAAGTTGCTTAATCAATTTCCCAGTTTCTCTAAAATCACGCAACCGAACTAAGGTTTCGTTTGCTTCTGTTTTTTTATCACAAAGGTGTGAAAGAGTATAATTTTCCGGGAAGAAATGTAATGACGTTGCCGTTCGAGGACAAACTTATTCGACCTTGCCATCTCCTCGTGTCCAACCTTCTAATTTCCTCCAATTTTTCTTTGCTTGTACTAGGCCACTTTGAGGTGTGTGTGCCCTCTCTTTTGTTATGGGTTGTTGCGTTGTTTCATTATAAGTTGCTAAGCAACATGTAAACATTTTAGAAAAGGTATGAGTTTAACATGATTACCAAAAAAGAAAATTATTCGACGTGGTGGTCTCGTCCGAGTTGTTCACTGTAAAAGACAAAGTGTTAAGATTTGATAACTATGTAAACATCTAATTATAACTTTAACTATTCATTTTGACTGGTAATCATGTAATAGACTAATGATCTTAGAGGCTAGAGCTATCATCTTTTAATAAAAGTGGGATATGCTCCAATTTTTTTTTCTCAAAAAAAAAAGCTCTAATTTATTTCTCT